TACGGGGAGGCAGGTACCCGCTCAGCCCCAGCTTGCCCAGCCGCAGCGATGCTGGGCTCGGGGCCATGGTGTTTCCCTGCACTGGGAATGCTCTGCGCTGGGGAGAGAGGAGATTTGGTGGCAGCGGAGGGATGCACCCAGAGGTGGGTGGTTTTCCAAGGGCTGGGAGATGGGGCCACGTTCCTACCCCAGGGCAAACCCCGCAGCTTCCCCTCGGGGCAGGAGGAAGGGCATCGGTGCCAGTGTGTTGGAGGAGGGATGGGGCTTTGCATGGCCCTGTTCCAGGGATGCACATTAACAAATCCCACCTCCGGGGCCTCGTGCTGGTTTTCAGGCTGGCACCTGAACGGTCCCCTCCATTGGAAGACCCTCTCCCGGGAGCATCACGCATCCCTCCTGTGGCTCCATCCCTCTCCTCCCGCCCCAGCCCGAGCGTGTCGTTACCAGCGTTTCTCTTGTACTAAAAAAAGCACAAATTTCTTAATTGTTTCCTGCTGGAGTTGAAAGGCAGCTCCCGGGCCTGAAATAGCACACTGGGGGAAACACAGCCAAACGAGAGCGAGCAGAAGACGATTTGCCTGGAGGGGCTGAGCCGAGCCCCGGGCTGCTGCCGTTGCCCCTTTCGCCTGCCCCGAGGGTTGCACAAAGTCCTGCTGCCCACCCTCCTCCTCCTCCCACCTGCCTTCATCTGTGCCTGTGGGTGATCAAGGCTGCAGAGCTGGTGCCTGGGGCATCCCTCAGGCATCCTCAGCGTGGGGGTCGTGGCTGGTGTCTCGATGCTTGGGAGAACACGTGCAGGGAAGCCTGTTTCTGTTAGAGACGTCACTCAGCATCTCTCTTTTGGAAGGATGCTGCCATGCAGCCCTTTGTTTTTTGGGATGGGGAATCCTTAGGGACCAGCGTGACTGTTGTTTTTGCCCACCCCAGCTCAGCCGTTGGATGCAGCGTGTCCTTCCCGGCTTCCTCCTGCCAGGAGACCTCTGTCCTTTTCCCTGTCTGCTCTTCTCTTGCCAGATGGCCCTGCCAAAACAGCCCTGCCAAAACAACCTTCCAAATCCCTCCTGCGGTGCGGCCAAAGCCCTCCGTGTCCTTCAGCCCAGGTGCCGAGCATCCTCGCGCCTACCTCCCCTTTCCTGGGGTGCTGCCATCCAGGCACCCCACATTGGGTGCTGCTGCCCTCCTGGTGCGACTGGTCCCTTTGCCGGCTCCCCGGGGAGGCAGGGAGAGAGGCTGCCCTGTCCCGAGCCCTTTCTGGGGGGTCTTGCAGGCTTTGTCCCTCCAGTGGTCCCGGAGCTGGGATGGAGGGACTGGACCCCCGCCGTATGCGCAGGGACAGCCTTGGGCGCAGCGATTCCTGCCCACGGGGATGCAGGAGCTGCGGGGTGGGGGCTGGCGTGTGCCCTCCTGGCTGCCCCACTGCTGCCGCCTGCCAGCCCTCGTCTTCTGCGGTCTGTGCCTTCTGCCAGGCATGTTATAAATCTTTCTGCTGGAAAATTGCTTTCTTTCTTTTTTGCCATCCAAGGTAATTGGCATCTGTTGATGTGTCTTGGGTCTCTATTTTTATCAACCTTTTGCACATTGACACATCTCCACTCTGCCTCATTATCCCAGCGCCTTTCAGACCTATTGCTTTTTTATTATTATTTAGATGCACGATGCAAAGGAAATGACTAATGAGGCTGTTCCCCCTCCCCGTGCCCGCCTGCTGGCACCAGGCTCCCCACTGGTATGCCAGCCAGGCATGGGGACAGGCACCAGCCCTCCACCCCGTCGGGCTCCCCGGCATCCCGCATCCCATCGGAGTCTCCTCTCCTGAGGACATTTGCGATCTCAGCAGCTATCCCCGGGCTGGGGACACTCAGGGTTGCCAACGCTCACCATTTTCTAGCTTGTCATGTTTTTGGGGTTTCTCCAGAGCCTGGTAAAGCTTCCCAGGGCCCTGGGATGGGTTTGATGATGTTTCTCTGTGTGGTTCGGAGGCAGCTGGTACCTGGCAGGATGCTGGCCCCGAGGCTGTGTGCGTTCAGTGCATTGATGTCGGGGCTGGGCAGGTGCCTTCCCCGAGCCACCTCTGGGCAGATGTTTTGGCAGATGTTTCCAGAGATGTTTTGCCTCTGGGGAGGTGAGAGGGCAGGGCCGGATCCTCCCCAGGCATGAACCAGCCTGGCCCCTGAGTGGTCCAAAGCATCTTGCAGCAACAGTGCTGCGCTCCCCTGGCAAAACGTCTTGGTGGGCTCCCCAGTTTTGGAGCCGGACGGACACCAGTCCCTGCAGCCCCAGTCCCATCGACCTCCCGGGCTGGCGGAGGAGTCCCAGGCTGTGCCTCGATGGCAGCTGCTTGCATTTGGATAACACACGGCAGCGCGTGGAGCGAGCGAGCCCTGCGGCATCCCCGGCAGGGAAGTCTCTTGTGTGAAGTGCAAAACACCAGCCGTCACTGGGAAAGCGCTAAATTCCTTTTTCTCTTCTTTTTCTCTTTTCTCCTGTTTTCTCTTGCAGTTACGGAGAAGGAGGTGCAGCAGTGGTGAGTGTTTCTGGCACGGCGGCGTGGCGGTGAGCTGCCGGGGCGCGGGGCTGGCGGGCGAGGGGGTGGGAGCCCGTGATGCTCAGCAACCCCACCGGCTGTGCAGAGCATGGGGGTGCAGGAGAGTTTTGGGGTGCAGGTGTTAGCTCATAGACGGGAGAGCAGAAAATAGAGGGTTTTTTTCTTGCACACCTTGTGCACGGTGCATGGTGGGGCATGGCTCCGGCTGCTCTCGGCCACCCGTGTAGGACGGTGCACGCTCCCTCTTGCTTCTTCCCTCCCCACATGGGCGGCCGAGGGGAGCGGGGACATGGGGACTGTCCAGCTGGTGGCCGTGGCCCCGGCTGCAGGAGGCCGGTGCTGTCCCAGCGTGTCCCCATTTGCAGCGGGGCCTGCAGAGGCTGGCAGGTGCCGGGACAGTGGTGCACGCTCTCGTCCCATCCCCTCCGCCCCACGGAACGCGACGCCCTAGAAAAGCCACCGCTTCCCTTTCATCTTCCCATCCCACCAGTCAAGGTTTGCTTTCTTTATCTCTTTCTGTCATCCTTTCCCCCCCCCCCCCCCCCCTCCAATGAGTCATAGCTGCAGCAGCGTGAAAACGATGTCACCATCACTTCGGTTTCCCACCTCGCCACCCCCTTCCCCTCCTCCTCCAGCCCTCGGCCCGCTGTAGCGGGCGCCTGACAGATTTGGGTGATGTGTTGCATAATGCTCACGCACCCCGCGTGGTCCCTGCGTGGTCCCCGCACCCGCGGAGCCGGCGAGCACCTTCCCCTGCGCCCTCCGGGGTGGCACTTTGCAGCATCCAGGTCCAGCCCAGAGCTGGGACCAAGGGTTTTTGGGGGTGTTTAAGCACCGATGCGTTTTGGGAGATGCCCTGGCCGTGCCACCCCAAGGATGCAGTAACCCTGCCATGCCCCCCAGCTCCCCTGAGCAACTTTTTCACTTGGGGTGGTGCAAAAAATGCCGTCACGGAGCCTTGGCTGCGCCGGGTGCTTAAGGATGCCGTGCTGTTGGTTTTTACCAGGGCATAGCTGCAGCATGTGGGTGCCGAGCAGTGGGCTGCAAATTGCCCGTGGGGTTGCTGCGGATCGTGAGTCCCTTCCCCGTGGTGGTGCAGCAGCTTGGGGGGAGCTTTCCTGGCCCGGTCAGATGCACCTGACATAACGGGGCCATGCTGGAGCAGTGGAGGGGAAGGGGAGCTCTGGCCCTTGGGTGAAGCTTTCCGTTTGCAGCTTCTTGCTCGGGAGTCATGTGCATCCGAAGATCCGAGCAAGGGATATAAACACTCTCCTGCGTGCCCTGTGATGGCTTCGGGGTCGAGCCAGGCATCGCCTGCCCCGGCACCTCCACCTGCAGCGTGGCTGGTGGGATGTGACTCTATGCAGAGGGCTTTTTATTTTGAAGGAGATTTAAAGGACTATTCTGGGTGCTCCTGGCCAGGTGGTGGGTCCCTGTCCCCTCCCAGGTCCTGGACAGTATTCAGCAGGAGCCTGGTTGTGGCTTGGTTGCCACTTCTGAGCTCATGGCAGGTTTGCAGCGGTGTGGTGGGCACCACTCGGTGTCACTGGTGCCGCTCACCGCTTCTCCAAGGCTTTCCCTGCTGCCGCCCTCGCTGCGGTGCCTGCAGGGACCTCGTCCCACGGGGCTGGGAGGTTGCGGGTGGGCGATGGGAGCGACACAGGGAGCACCCGGGGACCTTCCCGGCTCCAGCCCACCGCAGGAGAGCCCCATCCCGGCTCCCCAGGGCTTGGGGGACAGCGTTCAGCGGGGAGACCTGCCTGGTGCCCAACCTCTCCCCTTCCTTCGCAGGTACAAGGGCTTTATCAAGGACTGCCCCAGCGGGCAGCTCGATGCCGCCGGCTTTCAGAAGATCTATAAGCAGTTCTTCCCCTTTGGCGACCCAACCAAATTCGCCACCTTTGTTTTCAATGTCTTCGACGAGAACAAAGTAAGTCTGCAAGCCGGGGGGAAGGTCGGGACTGAGCCCGTGGCGATGGTACGATGGGTTTGGTACGTGGCTGCGCAGCACCGGAGGAGCGAAATATTCCAGTGCTTCCTGGGGCGTGAAATTAAAACGGCGCAGCTGTAGCGAGCGAGCCCCCGTGCTTATTTTAGTCGATGAGAGTCACGTGGGAAAAGGCGATGAAGTGGCAAGCAAGAGAGGAGAAACGCGATGTTTCGGTGCCGCTGACAAAAGCCCACCCGCGCGGTGCCCTCCGCGCTCCGGAGTCGCTCCTGCCGGGATGCTCGCTGCCGGATCACGCTCCTGGAGATAAATGTGCATCACTCCTCCCTCCCCATTGCCGTTTCGGATGCGTCCCCTAAGAGGGCATGCATGGGCAGGGAGGAGTTTGCGGGGTGGGGGGTAGCAGCGGCACCCTCACCCCCTCCTTCCCTCCCCCAGGATGGGAGGATCGAGTTTTCGGAGTTCATCCAGGCGCTGTCGGTCACCTCCCGGGGGACGCTGGACGAGAAGCTGAGGTGTAAGTGTTCCCCGGGAAGGGGCCGGGGGGGTGGCACGGGGACGGCGATGGGGTGCGTGTCTGGCGGTGGGAGGCGGGGGGGGCCACAGTCGCCAGCACCTCGGCATTGCTTTGGCTTGCAGGGGCGTTTAAGCTGTACGACTTGGACAACGACGGGTACATCACGAGGAACGAGATGCTGGACATTGTGGATGCGATATATCAGATGGTGGTAAGCGGTCGGGGGGGTACATGGGGCGAGCAGCCCCTGGGGGTCCCCGCTGGGCTGGAGCCTGGCTCTGTGGGCAGGGGGGCTGCAGGGAGGATGCTGAAACACCCCCTGATTCCCTCCCTGGGCTTTTTTGGTGGGGTGTTGTGGCCATCGTGACCGGGGCAGGGTCTGGATCTGGCCGCTGAGGACGGCTCTGGTGCCAACGTGCCCTGTTCCGATGTGGGGGGTGTTGGGGGGCAAAACGGGTGTCCTTGCCTGGGGACACCGTCCAGGCAGGGCACAAATGGGTGTGTGACCGCGTCCTGTCCTGCTGCCGCAGGGAAACACAGTGGAGCTTCCTGAAGAGGAGAATACACCGGAGAAGAGGGTGGATCGGATTTTTGCCATGATGGACAAGGTGAGGATTCTCGAGTGGGTTTTTTTTTCCCTGGGGCCAAGGGATTTAGGAGGCAGTTGTGGGCCCCCTTGCCGTGTCTCGGCTTTTGCAGGTGCCTCCTTCCCTCGCCAATACAAGGTCTCAGCTGCCGCCGGGCTCGCTGCAGAGCCCCGCATCCCTCCAGAATGCCCATATCCATTTCAGGGTCCCTGAGATGTCATTGCACCCTCAATGGCGCCCTTCCCTGGCTGCAGGCATGGGTGGTTTGGTGGGGAAACTGAGGCTGCGGCGGTGGGGGGGACCCGGGCGGCTGTGCGGGATGGCGTGGGTGCTACCGGGACCCCGGGGTGCTCGGTCCCGGGGTGCTCGGTCCGTCTCCCTCGCCGGGGCGAAGCGGCGCTGCAACCGGAGTGTTTTGCAGAATGCGGACGGGAAGCTGACGCTGCAGGAGTTTCAGGAGGGCTCCAAGGCCGACCCCTCCATCGTGCAGGCGCTCTCCCTCTACGATGGGCTCGTATAGTCCCGGGGCCGAGCGGCGGTGAGTGTGGCGTGGGAGGGTCCGGGGGGGGCCCATTTCCCACCCGCCTGATGCCATTCCTACCTTCCCCTGGGGTGGGCGGCTGGTTCTCCTCTGCTTGAAGCATCAAAGCACGGGCATCCCCCCTATATCCAGCTGGGGGGGGATGTTGCCCCCATACTGTTGGGTTTCTCCCAGTATCCCCCAGTCCCACAGAGCACCCCAGGACCGCGGCCCATGAGGATGCAGTACAAGCCGCCCAGCTGGCAGGCGTTTGACTGCAGCACAAGTCCTGCTCTCGCCTGCAGATGCGGCTGCAGAGGAGGCAGGGAGGCAACTGGTATGGGGATGCTCCAGAGAGATATTATATTAAATGTTTTATTTATATTATGTCTCATTATGTTCTGCCCTGGAGCTGGCAGGGTTTGGCATGGTGGTGTCAGGGACGCTGTGGTTCGCAGCATCCCAGGGGTGCTGGGCTGAGCACCCCGTGGTCCTCGCCATGTCCTGTGGGGCCATGCGAAGGTGTCTCCTGGGATGATTTTGGTCATCGCAGGCCAGGCAGTGTCCAACCATGGGTGGTGGGGGTTTTTTTAACCCCGCTGGAGTTTTGAGCTTTTCAAAATCTTTATCGTGTTTCCAGCTTTGCCCTTCCAGCTGTGCTGGTGTCACAGGGCTTTCTGCCCATCCTTCTCACCCGGTTTTCCTTCTCCCCCCACCCGCCCTCTCCTGCAGATGCCTGGGGGAAGACGCTCTCCGTGCCATCCGACCACCGCCGCGCGAAGCTTGCCTGTCCCTCTCGGCCTTCCTTTCTGTTCTGCAAGCAAAGGATGCCCTCGAAGCGCGAGCTCACTCCCCCTCTCTGCACTCTGAACCAGCCGCTGCCATTTGCCAACTTCTGCTTTTTCCAAAAAAAGAAAAAAAACCCCGCGACAGACCCCGGTCTGAGCGGCAGCGAACGCCCAAGACTTCAGGGCCGGGGGAACGGGTCGAGCATCGCCGAAGGCAGAACCACCCCCAGCCTCCTCACTCTCTTTGCTCCCCTTTCCTACATTTTCGGATGGGACTGTGGATGCGCCGGTGCTGGCGTGGTCCTCTCCCAGGAACCGGCCGGCTGGAGATGGAGCCCAAAGGTACCGGGGGGCCGCGCACCCCAGGGTGCTGCCTGCGCGGGGCGGCCGGGGAGCCGAGGCACCAATGGCGATTGGGAACACGGTCCTGGCGTCACCTGCGATGCTGCTGGCAGCCCGGCCCGGCTCACTAGGGATATATATTATTATATTTTTTTTTTTTTTTTTGGTGAGACAGTATTGTGCTTTTTCTTTTGGTTTTTTTTTTCCTTTGGTGGAAAAAAGTGAGGCTTTTTTTTATATGCCTATCTCGACGATCGATATCCTTATTTATTTGTTGTCAATGTTGCTGCTGTGTTTAGTCTCTCGTGTGTGTGTCCGACCACCTAGGTGATGATATGTAAGGTTTACATGCTCGTACACTATTGCGGGGCACCGGGAGCCTGCAATAACAATGAAGCCAAAAATCTGCCTTCCCCACTCTCCTCCCACCCCCTGTATCCCAAGCTCTGTGGGCTGGCTGCTGTTTTAAGGGGATGCTGTAGCTTCTTTTCCTTTTCCCATTCCCCTGTTTCCTGCATTTTTCTGTTCACCCTTCCCTTTGCGAGCTCAGCCAAGGCTCGCTTAGCCGAGGCTCTGAGCAAACTGAGCCTGCTCCATCCCTCAGTTGGGCAGGGCGAGGAAACCACCAGGCACCAGAATGTCCTTATTTCCTTTTTTTTTTTTTTTCATTTTCTCACTGCATGAAAAAGTATTAATGGAGCTGAGAGTTGGACTTTGCTTTCAAGCAAATATTCCTTTAATATTTTCTGTTTTGCAAACAGTGGGAAGGTCCGTTTGTACCCCAGGGAGGTGGCTGGGAATTAGCCTGGGTGCCGGCAGGGCTGGGGGAGCAGAGGGGATGCCCGTGGGGACGGTTCGCTCTGTCCCCCCCATCCCAGGCTATGCGGCTTCTCCTGCCTTAGGGGTACCGGGCTGGGAGACGTGCGGCTCGGGGTGTCTCCTTATCCCCTTGCTCCTCGTTTAGGACGTGGGAGGTTTTGCTGTAAACTGAGAGCACGGCCCCAAAGCGGAGCTGCTGGCACCCGTGCTGTCGTGCTCCTCGTGCTCCTGCCTCAGGGGAGGCGGAGGGCTGGGGAAACACACCTGGAAACACCCGAGCGTGGGGCTTGGAAATGGCCCCCCGGCCACGAGCGGTGCCTGCAACGGCCTCTCCATCACTCGCCACCGCACCGGGATGTGCCCAAGCAGGGCTCAGCCCCGCCGGGACACGCGCCGTGGGACACCGTTGGCATCTCTGCTGGAGGACGAGAGTTAGGTGGATGCTGCCGCAGCTCCGTTTCCAGCTGCCTTGGCCCCTGCCCTGGGGAAGGAGAGATTTGCCCCTCCTTGGGAGCAAAATGCAGGATACCCATGGGACCCCTAATGCCAGCCGGGGTGCAAACCCCTCCTGCTCTGGTGTGGTTTGTTCCTGGCCCAGTAACACCGATACTGACATGGCAAAACCTTTCTGCCCCGCTCTCCACCGGGATGCCTGCAGCTCCGGTGGCCGAGCCCAGCCAGTCCCCACAGCCCTCGGCCATGGGGACCATCCTGGTGGCAGCAGGAGGGGATGGCTGGATGTGGAGGACGTTCTCACAGGTGTCCCACGATGCAGGAGAAAAGACGGCGTGCCAGCGGAGTCTGAACCATCCCTGCGCGGCAGGGATGGACTCTCCAGCCAAGCGATGCTGGTCCTTTGCTGTACAGCCCTGCTCCCCAGTTTTGGGGCCGTGTGCTGGTGGCACTTTCCAATACCCATAAAAAAACTCACCCTTCCCCATCCCCAAGGAGACCGGCCTCACATCCACGTGCAATATTTCTGCCTCTTCTGCAGTACCTGCCCCTGAGGGTACCCATGGTTCATCGCTGAGGGCTTCTGGAGGGTGTCACCTCGCTCCCTCCTCTGGAAAATTCTTTTCCTTGATGCTTTGTGGCCAAAATGCAACTCTCTTGGGTAGACCTTTGCAGTGCCTCCAACTTCTCTAGCGCTCGTCTGCCAGACTGGTCTCTTCCCGGTGCCAATTGATGTTCCCGATGAATGTGACACTGCTGTAATCGCCTCCGCTGATAAATGATGGACCCCGCGATGTTTGACATAATTCCCAGGCAAAGGCAAACTTCACTTGCTCTGACACTTTCCCCTGAAAGGCTTTTAATTTTCAGAGGACCTACCATGCTTTGAGCTCCATCAGTGCTTGTCGACATCTCACCAGGGAGGCAGCCCTGCAAGGGCAGCGGGGTGTGCGGCCCCCATCACGGGTGGGGTGAGGGACCAGCATTGGCTTGGGAGAGCTTCAGACCCCAGAAATCCCCAAATTCAGTGTCCGGTGCTGCTGTCATCACCAGCAACCTCCTGCTGCCGCTGATGCTGGTGGGCTCAGGGATGGAGCCCGACGCCTCGTCCTCCCTCACCCCTTATTAAACATTTGCACATTAAAAAAAAGAAAAAGGAGCAAAAAGGAGAAAAGGTTTTAGCCTGTATTCAAAAGCTCTGTGCTGCCTGATGAGGACCCTGTCGGTTTGGTGGTGACGATGGGTTTTCGGGGGCAGAGGCCCCTCCTGCAGGGTCAGGGCTGGCTCTTGTCCTCAGTCCTGGCTCTGGCCACGGAGCGGGTCCCAGCGTGGGGTCTGTCCTGTCCCACTCTTGGCATGCTGAGTGTCCCCGAGCAAATTATTTTGGCCCCAGTATTCCCCCCCACCCCCGACTGCGGATTTGGGACCCTGGCTTGGATGCTTCTAGCCTCCCTTTGGGGACCACCGAGGGCCCCTGACTCCTGAACATCACCAGGGTCTGCAGCTACTTGGTACTGCTGAAAATAAGGCTTGAAGCATCTCGCCCTTGGAAATGTTGGCCTTAACCTCCTCGTGCCTCAGTTTCCCCATCAGTGAAATGGCCTGGTTGAGCCATCCCCTCTCCAGAGAGCGATTCGACGCCTGTGCCCAGGGGAGCACGAGCGCTGGAAACAGCTCACGGCTGCGACCATGAGGGTTTGGCAGGACCCACCGAACATCAGGCACGTGCGGAGCACCGGGAGCAGTGCGTGAACCACTGGGTCGGAGTTTACATCAGCGAATAATTAATTTCGGTCTTCTTTTTAAACCTGCTCATTATTAAAAGCGAACAGCTGACAAGACCTGATTTGTTTCTCTTTATACTCGGGTTCCTGATGCCTGTCTGAAATAAAGCTGGCTGCAGCCCTGGCGATGGGAAGGGGACCCAAAGCGCAGCCAGGCAGAGGCGAGGGTCCGGCCCCGGCGACTGCGGCGTGTTCCCCCCCATCTCTCATTTGTCCCCGTCGGTGTTACGCCATTAAAATGCCGTGTCTGTACTTTCCTTTCTTTTCATTTTTCTGTTTGTGTGCTGACTGTTGCTGCTTTGTAACCGTCTTTCCTTGAGCTCTGGGGCTGGGCTGGGCTGAGCTGTTTCCCCTGGAGAGCAAGGACGTGCGAGAAGGCTCTGGGGGCAGATTCCCCCCCCCCCATCATGGCACAAACCAGGACCCAAGAGAGAGAGAGAAGCAAAGTGGATTTTTCCTCCGGAGCAGCCCTTTAATTGCTGCGATTTCTAACGAGACTGGGCAGCCCCCCGGAGCACTCCCCGCCGGCTTCGTGGATGGGGGTGTTTGCTTATGGGGGTCCCCAGACCCCATTTGTGCCGGATACCAGCTGCATCTCACCCCATGGTGCAGAAGCGTGTGCCTGTCGGTGCCTGCATCCCACGCCGTCAGGACACTGCATCCCAGTTGGATGAGGGGGCTGAGGCTGTGGGACCCCCGTCCCAGAGCCACTGCTCCCCCCAAACGGGCAGGGGTGCAAATAAGCGTCTGCCACTGGGCTGCCATGGGGCTGCGCTAACCTGGGGGGGTGGAAGGGTCTTTGGGGTGTGGGGCCAAGCCCCAACTGGCACCGGGCTGGCTTTGAAGTGAGGGGCCAGGCACGGCCTGGGGGCAGCCGAAATCGCTGGCAGAGCTGCTGTCTTCCCATGTATTTAGGGTCAGGGGGGGTTTGAATGGGCTGGGTGGGTGACCTGCAGCCAGCTCGCTGTCCCATCGTCCCCAGTCCCAGGGTAAAGGTGGGGATCTGGGGCATTTTGAGAAGGTATCAGCCACCCCTCCTTCATGGGGATGTTGGAGGGGAGGGCACCGGCTGGGACGGTGGCGGTGGCCGGTGGGACAGGAGGGAGGGCTGGGGGCAAAGGAGGGACCTGATATGGCCCTGGTCTCGGTGCACAGCTTGGGGGTCTCCTTGCAGAGCAGTTTCGAGGTCTCGGTCACACGTGCCAGCCCCGACTATGTTCCAGTGGCACTGTGGGAAAGCCGTCCTTCCTTCCTTTCTCTCTCTCTGCTCCTGCAGCCGCCAGCCCTGGGTTGGGTGCACGTCCCGCGGGACCCCTGCCCGGGGGCAGCTGAGCCCTGAGCTGAGAAACAGCAGCTCCAGCAAAGAGCCTTGTTTGTAAAGATGAAGCCTGTTTGTGCGTCCGTGCCGGTGTCTCGGCTTGCATGCCCTGCTGCCTTGTCTTGAGATGAATTCAAGAGCAAACCAAGCAAATGAAACGGTTTCAAAACAAAACAAAACCCAGGAACTTTGTGACAGTGGAAATAAAAGCTTAATGACAGTAACGAAGCACCCGTGGTCTGTGATGTGCTGTGGGGTGAGCGGAGGAAAGGCAGACGGGCTCAGGGGTGGACACAGGACGGAC